TCTTTCTCAATATAACTTTGCAATACAAAGAATTTCCTCAGTCACTTTTACTTAACACACGCTATAATTCACAACGATTCACTTACTTTACTTACGGTCACTACCGCTCGCTTAACTCAATTATCTGTCTCTATCTCTATCTATCTGCCCTCGTATCTCCGCTTTAGTTGCAGGGCATATATAAAATAAAATAGGGCGCTTAGAAAATACTAGAGTTGCCAGGAAAAGTCAAGATCCTTCGAGAATATCATGACGTGTTACCAGAGTCACGTGACTTCCGCTGTCGTAACAGTGGTTAGTTGTAATGGCTGGAGACGGCTTGAATGGGTAATGAATAAAAACTTCGACAAGACCTTGTCAAAACGTTGTACATTTGCTGTTATGTTAAACTTATATTAAAGTTTTTCTTCATTACCCATTCAAGCCGTCTCCAGCCATTATTAGTCTCTTTTTTAGTAAATTACTTTTTTGCTATTACGTAAAACGTTTAAAGTTTCATTATTTTTACCATTTATTGTGCGATTCTTGTATTCATTTAATTGATTACTTTTTTACTGTCATAGACATTAGTTTTTTTACTGTACTATCAGTACCATCATGCTACCCGAATCTATGGTTAAACAATAACATATGTCGTAGTAATTCATTTCAGGCATTAAACTTCTTTACAGTTACAATATCATTAACAAAGATGGTAACCACCTGATGAATCAATGCGTTTTAATCATTATAAGTAATTTAGTTTAGACATTATTTTTAATTAACTACATGGATTCCAAGTTTCTTCTTCTTCTTCTTTTTTGTTGTTTCTCACCTATGTTAGTGGATTGCTTTGATCAGAAGTTAATGGTAATTATCTCTTTATACTGTTTGTTGATAGGAGTTTGGCAGAACTGGTCCAATCAGCTTCGTCGTCATTGGACTTGTGTTATGCTTTCTCTTATTAATTTTCTACATGGCGCTGTGGTTGGTTGGTCACAACATGAATTACTCAGGTACAATGCTTGTCTAATATTTGTATAATTATCTACCATTTTCTGATTAATTACTCATTTTCGAAAGCTTTATTTCTGTATCCATGGCGTTAAATTGTTGAAAAGAATGTAATAGGCACTACTAGTGGGACAGTTACTCGTTACAAGTAGTATTTATTTGAAAAATACAAGGTATTGCAGTCAAATAAAAACAATTAAAATAATCAGATATTTTTGTAAATGAAAAACATAACATTTATTAACACCAACAAGAACTATACATTCTTCAAAGTATATTTCCACACTAAACATTTCTATATTTAAAGAAAGTTTTAACAATGCATTACAAGCTTACCTTTAAAATGAATTTTCAATTCTAAGAAATTAACTATAGAACAAACCATATTCAGTGAGAAGCTAACACTTACTTTGGTGAAGCAGAGGGTTTGATTGGCTGAAGCCTCATTTCTGATGTAGCTGGCAGATTGGTAGAACCTTGACAGACTTCAGATTCCATCCCACATTTATATAGATTTTAGATGTTGTAAAACTTGTAAGAATGCGGAAACAAAGCAGGTGGTCGCTCACTCTATGTAAGAACTCGTAATTACATGCTTTACATAATGAACAAAGTTCATTAAGACTGTATCAGTTCGAAACCACAATACAGGAGTCCAAGGTTAAATGCAGAATTTTACCCACTACGTCCTTATTAGCTTCACTTTCACGTTTTCTTTGGGAAACTGTTACTTAACTAAGGTTAACGAGCTGTCATTAATCCTTTTCACAATAAAGTTGGATCTTTCCCAGAGACTTATACCCTTTCTTGTATTATCTGAGCAGAAATTATAACCTTGAAATAACATCTTGGCTAATTATTCAGAAGAAAGACGCCTATGCCGTTAATGTGGAACATGTTTGTGTCTACTTAATCAGTCTCTGCCCTCGATTTTATAGTTATTACTTAATAGCTCTTAATGTATATAATACTGATCCTAATTTGCAAGAAAACTAAATTGAATTATATAATGTTAATTCACTTCACATGACATTTTTGTTTTGTGTATAATTATGATAATATTAACTTTACCTCTATTAGTCCCCTTATGCACTTGTTTTATTTAGGAGGCATGTCATTTTAAGATTTGAGCAGTAATTTTTATCTTCAATTTGGAGAACATTCCCCTTCAGTGTGAATATATCCAGTTAGAGTGGGTACAAAATGTATAGAGATTTGTAGATACAAGAGTAGCGAGGCTGCAATTGCAAGTTTCTTATTGTGTTTGTAAGAATAAGACTTTTAATATCTAAGTACTATCTGCAGTGAGCTGAAGCAATGTAGATAAAATTCAAAACTAAAGTTCTGTAACAACAGTTAAAAGCATTTAACACCAAAGTTCTGTTAACATGGTTATGAACATTTTACCTCACTCTTTTCCTTAGCTTCATCCGGACTGATGGCCTTTCTCAGGAGGAACATTATCACCAAGATGTCAGCTGAGCGCAAGTCTTCGGGCCTCATGAGGGAACATGTGTGTCACTACTCACGCATAACACCCGAACACTCGGAAAATGGTGTTGGAGATAAGTACAGCGACTCGGAAAGTGAGGAACTGCTCCAAACTCGCTAAGAGGTGCGATCCTACCTTTATATAGTTCGGTCTTTAAACTGTTATTAATACCAGTCCTACGTTGTAGTCCGTCTTTGAATCTTTATCAACACCAGTCCTACTTTTGTGTAGTCCGTATTTAAACTGTTATTAATACCAGTCCTACTTTGTACTTCATATGTGAACTGTTATTAACAACAGTACTACTTTTATGGAGTTCGGTCTTTAAACCGTTATTAACACCAATCCTACTTTTGTGTAGTTCATATTTAAACTTATTAGCATCAGTCCTACTTTTGTGTAGCCCATAGTTAAACTTTTACTGTTTTCATAACTTTTGTGAAATTGAATTCATTTCTTCCTGCTCAGAGACCGCTTTAGTCATTTTCCAAATTCAAATATAAAATAATTTCCCTCACATCTGACCACAGTTTGAACACCTGTTTATATATATAGCTCTATGGCAATAAGGAAAAATGTTAAACTTGGTTATACCCGACTGTTGTAATAATAGTGTTATATGGAAAGGCAGGAAATTAATTTCTGTTTAGATTAATCACTATGATACAACAATGACAAAAATGTAAAAGAACTAACAATACTTGTTTTCTTATTTTCCAGATGTACAACATTCGTTATAAACAAAGCAAGCTATTTTTTAAAAATCCACCAAGGTTAATATATTTCTATTGTTTTTAATCCTCAGGATATAACAGATACAACAATACTACTAACGCACATAACATACCACAGGTTGTTTCTACTGACCTATTATCACAGAAGAAATACTACATGTTGGTTGTACTGAACCTATTATACCAGATGACATACTACAGGTTGTTTCTATGATCCCATTATTCCAAATGACATACAAGTTGTTTCTACAATCCTATTATCCCAAATGACATACAAGTTGTTTCTACTGGTCCTATTATACCAGATGACATACTACAGGTTGTTTCTACAATCCTATTATCCAAAATGACATACTACAGGTTGTTTCTACAATCCTATTATCCCAAATGACATACAAGTTGTTTCTACTGGTCCTATTATACCAGATGACATACTACAGGTTGTTTCTATGATCCCATTATTCCAAATGACATACAAGTTGTTTCTACTGATCCTATTACACCAGATCTTGTACTATAGATTGTTTCTGCTGATCTCATCAATACTAATAAAAGACTAGAAGTTGGATCTACTGTTGTACTTAGTGATGTTTCCAAATAATGTTTTTTTTAACCTTGTATCCTGACAGACTTTTTTTTTCCTTGTAACTAGAGGCAGTTGTTTTTTATTCTATGTAACCAAGAAGAACTTATTTTTGTTTCATATAATTAGGTGTGGTTATTATCTTTGTTTCATTTAATCAGATAATTTTTATTTTTCGTTTGAAATAACCAGCTAAAGATCTTTATTGTCATTTCATGTAACCAGGCAGATTTCATTTCATATAACCAGGTGGAGTTATTATTTCTATTCATGTAACCAGAGGTTAAAGTTCCTGTAAGCTTTTCTATTGCTTTAACTTTTAAAGTTTTGAATGTCTGTCAGTGTACTAAGAAAACACAGCTGTTAAGTGTAATGCACTTTAAGAATAAATAAAACTCAAGTTGAGGAATGACAAGTCTGCAGTAACTGAATCTTTCTGAGAACTGCATGTACATCCACCGTTTGTGCACAAAACATTAATTTCCTCTCCTTTATAGTTCACATATCATTCCTTCATAATAACATCTTTTAGCTGGAGATCGATAAAACACTGGCATTTCTGTACTGGTAAGGTGACAGCACCGCGAACATGCAAGATCCTTGTCTTCATTCACAGAAAATAAGACTGCTGGAAACTAAGTACTGTATCATGTAGTAAAGAAAGACAAAACATGGGGAATCAAAAGGACAGTACAGAGACAGAAAGCTACTTGTAATGTCAGTAAAGGAGCTCTCTCTTACTTCATGCCAAGCAGCAGGCCTCCAGATGAGTCAGCACCTAAAGGCGAAACCTCTCATATTGTTGTCTGGTGCTCAACTCAATTTGTAATAAGGTCATGTTGCATAATGACATCACTAATATTACCCTCTAATGAAAACAAGTTATGTACATAGATCTAAAGTTCACAATTAAAAGTCAATTGGGTAAGTGTATAGTTAATTAAATATACTGTTCTTATTTATAAATATTAGAATGCATTGTTTCATCACTTGGGTTCCAACGCTGTTAGCAATATTTGCAGCAATAATCCCATTAATACCTCATGAGGTTTGGCAGCTTAAAAATTTGGGTTAGTTCTAAATCCATATACTAAGATTTCAATAATAAGTCAATAAAACATTACTCTCCTAATGATCTTTCAGTAATAAACCTAAGTCAAAAAACACTACCATCCTTATGATGTTGCATTTCACTAAGAGGCCTAAGTCAATAAGACAACCATCATAATTATGTAGTATTTCACTAGTGATGTCATATTTTACATATAGAAATGAAAGAACTCTTTGCATCATGCACTATAAGAGAATAAAGAAATGTATGTCCTCAGTATATACGAAACTAAGCTTTTTGCAACCTAGAATCTGGACAAATGAAAAACAAATTTATTTCTATTTAAGCAGTGTTTTATAGTGATGTTAATTTATTGCAAAACTTTATGAAATCCTTCCTAACAACTGATCCACATGTGCACCTTTAAAGTAGACTGGCATCTGTGATAAATTACTATAGCACATATTGATGAACTATAAAGTAATGTAGCAGGATGGTACAGATATCGCAGCAAAAAAATTAATATTTATGTAAATAACACAAACAATAATTTACTTAAACATACAAGCTGTGAATAACAGAACTAATCTGACTTTAACTAATTATACTTGTCATATGGCATTAGTATCAGGCCTATAATATTTTTAACATTAAATATTTTATCTAGTCCCTCAGGGATTTTTAAGAACTAGAAGTGAATAATAATAGTATTCCATCCTTAACATGTTTGCTTTATCCGTTACCAATGATGTGTTTCATCAATCCAGAGTTCCTCATATCAACACAGTAGTGGATGGAATACTATTTATACTTAGATGACATAATCATACATGGGAAGACCTTTATAACACTTCTGAAGGGTTAAGGAAGATTGGTTGAGGAAAGCGAACCTTAAGTTGAATCTCAAGAAGTGTGCATTATTCTGTCAACAGGTGAGTTTCATGGGACACATAGTCAGCAAGAAGGAGTTTGTACAGAACCATCATAGCCTAACTCTGTCTAAAATTGGCCAGCACCAAGGATGGCTTCTTGGACTGTGGTTTTACTATAGTCATTTCATAGTCTTTCTTAATATATCCCATCCTCAACATAAATTACTTGAAAAGATAAGTTTTATTGGATTACAGATTGTGAACAAGAATTTATCAAGCTGAAGAAGGAAATGACTACTATTCCTATATTAGCATACCTAAATCTGGAAGAAATTACTCCACAAGTTTGTCTCACAATATGGTGTGCTTATGGAACTTCACTCAGATCAGAGACAGAACTTTTACTTGGGCTTATCAGCATAAATATGTCAGACCCTTAGGATAAAAAAAAACAAAAAAAAACCTCATCCATCTTTTGATGCTACAATGAAGAGATACAATCACACTCTGTTACATCAATTTTCCACGTAAATTGATGAACATTAGAAAATGTGGGTTCAAAATCTTCCACTCTTAACAATGAGTTATTGTACAGTAGTACATGGAACTACCAGCAATACACCATCATTGATGTTTTGGAGAGACCTTAGAGTACCTATGCAACCTCTGTAATCTCATCAGGAGAACAGACACTCAGAAGAGTCTTACACAGTATATGTTGAGAGAGATTAAGAAAGACCATTGATGCAACACATGACTTTATCCAAGAAAGACTTAAATCAGATACTGATAAAATTTAAATTTGCTATAATGTTTATGGTAATAAGATTGGATTCCATCGAGGTGACATTGTATGTCTGTACAATCCCCATCAAAAAAAAGAAAAAAAGAATGAACTCTAAAGTTAAGCAGGTGTTGGGAAGAGCCATAAGTTGTACTGTAGAGAATTAATGATGTGATTTACTTTAAAAGAATCCAGAAAATAAGTGACTTAACCTGATCGTAACCAATGTTTTATGGAAGAATGTCAAAAAAATGATCTATATTAATATCTTCACAACATATCAGTTCTAAAACAAGGTTAATAGCTACATTTTTTTTTCTTTCTACTTTAAGTTTCTGCTCTTACCCTAATAGTTGTAAACTTGTTTGTTTCATTGGTTTAATTTTGAAAGTTTGAAACATAATAGTCTTCAGCATGCTTTATTCAAAGCCCCTTCTGAAAATACATTTCAAAATTTTCATTTTCTTATCATTTACGTTCACACTACACATCACACACATGTAATCATGTGTGTGTATAAAAACCAAAGAAAACTAAAAGTGTGTATGTTGTGTTTCAAGATAGTGTATTTTATGAACAAGAGAAAGAAAGCTTTGTCACTTCATCTACATTAAAATTTTCAAACAATAACTTTTAAAAATAAAATGGAATTGTTGACAGTTAAAATGTTCACAATATTGAACTATTTTTAGCATCAAAATTCAGCATGAACAGATACTGGAAGTTTGTCTGAAGATGGAGTTTTGGAATACTGATTTTCTAAATCATCTGTTCTATGTTCCTTGTCTCCATCACCTTCATGTTGGTCTATTTTGGAATCTTCTCTTTTAACACCATCTGAAACACCAGTACCTTGTTCAACAGGATTCATTTCAGTTTTATCTGTAAAGTATACAGAATATCAATATTCTGTCATCAAAATATAGTTCAATTTCACGTTTGAAAACAAACCACACAATTGGTAAGACATATCCAATGTTACCTGCACATCAACCATATCCAATGGCAATATTTTGAAACAGAGACAGTGAGTGATGTTTCCTGTCTCTAATTATACAGTGTCAACAACAATGCCATATTGCTCAACAATTTAAGAGTTGTGATGTTTCCATCAGTGATGGAAATGGAGGTACACACCGTGTACCTAGTTCTCAGTTTGCATTTTTTCCCCTCATTGGTTAAGTTTAGTACCACTGAAGATGTTTATTAAACCTATCTTCACAGGTAAAAGGCCATGTCATCGCATCTGTTGAATTACATTTAAAATTTTATTGAACTACTATTTTATAAATCTATGTCAATAAGTTTGGTATGAAATTGTAGATTATAATTCAAATTTTAGTATTATATGTTACTTAATTTCTTAATTTGAAAGTAAATATTATAAAAACACACCTAAATATCGATTTTTGTGTGTCACGTGGTATGTTGAATGCAGCATTGGTTCAAATAAGATGTTTGTGATGTACAAATACAAAGTCTATAGTTTCTTATGAATTAGAAACCCAAACTACCAATATTAACAAGCTAGAATATAAAATAAGACCCTCCTATCTTTTTTATACCTATTACCACACTGCTCCTTCTAAGCGTGTACCTAGTTCCTAAATGCCATTTCCTTTCCTGATTTCCATTCTCTAAGATCTTAATAACTATTTCTATGTGAATTTCTATATGGTTTTGAAGAATGTCTGAAATACAGAAACCTTCAATCTCCATGCATACAAGGCAGAGTGATTAACCTATAGACCACAGACAACCTTTCAGGGGTCAACTGCATACCTGCATATCGGGTTTCAAGCTTTATGTAAGAATGATAATTTGAACTCTATTTCAATAATATTTTATTCAAAAAATATAATTTATATTTTGCAATTTTGTAGCATATATTTAGTGTATTTTGCAAAGAAAAATTAAACAAATGTTCTAATTTACATCTATGCGCATCGTCAAGTAGTATCTCCTGAAAAAAATCATCATTTTCCTTCTCTTTTTCTAATTGTATGAGTACAGGCTCTCATTCAAAGACTTTTATGACCTCACCTCATGGGAACAACTGCTAATGTAGCTCAGGTTTGAAAATAGTAATTGGCCAAGTTTAAGTGCTATTAAATAGAGCAGTTTATAAACTATTTAGGTTAATGTAGATTGTATAAAGTAATGTGAGAAGTAATCTGCAGTTTCATGGGAAAGTGACAAGTATTATCTATTGAATATATTCAGCAAGAAATATAACAGACTGTTGAAACATAACTACAGGAGTATTTACTGAATATTATATGGTGAACAACAACTATCAAAACACACTGTTGTAACATGCTGAAGAAATATATATATATATATACTTAAAATTATTTTTTATTACATATAAATGAATGTAGTTAACATGTTTCTAACTAAGGTTTAGATATCTAGAACCAGAAGAAGGAACATGAGTATCTTAAAATGTACGGCCATGTCTTCTATGTGAATCAACTAGACTTATTTATAATTTTAATGAATATGAAAAAACTAAAAAATCAACTCACCAACACATCCTTTATCAACCATATAATGATAACCATCTGCACACACCTCACAACCTTTTGGCCCTCCTTCTCGACAGTGACCTTTGCACGATTTGTCACACTTCTGGCACACTGTATCACCATTATATGTTGTTTCAGAAAAATAGCCAAGTTTGCATTTATCACATATACTACCAACATAACCTTCATCACACTTGCACTTTCCTGATCCTTTCCTTGTCCCTGCTCCCTGAAAGAAACAGAAGAAAATTACACTTTCAGATCCTTTACTTGTCTCCACTCCCTGAAAGAAACAAAACATAATTACATTTTCTGATCCTCTCCTAGTAATTGCAAGAAACAAGACAAGCTAATCAAATTTAGATGCTTCTATTCACTCTGCAGGACAAAAATACAATTAATCATACTTGCATGTTCTTAACCATTACTTTGTCTCCAGTCTCAAAGTAGCTGAACTAGAATTTTTTATATACAGATCCCTGATAGAATAAGTTGAGCAAAAGTATAGCAGGGGTAAAGTTATTATTCAAAACACTTGTGTTGTACATGGAAGTACAAGCATGAAATTTAAAATTCAATGTCTGGTAGAACCTTTCTCCTCTTGGATCTGCCAGAGCCTGAATGCAATTAAGCAGGTAATCATTCTGTATCACAGCCTCATCTAGATTGTTTCCCATATGGGAGTGAGTGTAGTCTTCAACTGATTCATGTTATGTAGATATGGGTGGATTAATCACAGTTTGCTATTGAGATGTTCCCAAAGAAATTCAGTAAGATATAAATCTGGTTTCTGAAGTCCAGCTTGAGGCATTTTCATGTCTTCCATGCAATGATTGTTCAAGCAGCATGGTAAGATGTTCAACACTCCTAAAAAATATGTGTCCAACAGTTCCATAATTAAGGCAATCCTGGATAAAAAATGGTAAAAATATTAGTTGAAAGGATCTATATGTTAAGCTGACCTTCCATAAACAACTGATCAGTTTTACCACAGTACCAAATACCACCCCATACCATAGCATTACAGCCTATATATTTGATTGTACACATTTTAATTGAATAACCTCTCCACATGCACATCTATCCAAATGATATGCACTGCTGAAATTTGGATTCATCAATAAATACTTCGACCTCAAAAACTACATTAAGCAATCTACCATCTGTTCTAGCCATTCATATCCCTGAGCCTTGATAACATCCATGGCAAGGGTTTTCTTCAATTAACTCATCCGTGATACCCGAGTTTATGAAAAACCATTTGTGCTGTTCATTGGCTCAATTAACAGTTTCAGCGATCCCTCTAGAGCTTATCTTTTGATCAATAAAACTTTGTTCAGTAACTGTTCATTTGGTAGATGTTGTCACTGATGGTTTCCTTCCATGTAAACTTTGAGCTGTAGTAATATTGTACTAGAATATGATGATTACACCAATTTCACAATCAAATATCTTGAGCAACGTATCTCTCACTGTCACAATCCTTAGAATAACCAATTGCTTGGCCTTGTGTAATTGAAGAAATGTCAGGTGCAAAAACTTATTTTGGTATTTATATCATAAAATGACTATTCCTATCCATGTGCCACTTTTTATGGCTAAGGCTGGTATGAATGATGGGATGTTTGTACCAAATATTTAACAAGGGTGCTCTCACTAATCTGGTAAGATCCATACTTTGAATATGAAAACAGAAATGTGTATGTTGCTACAAAACCAGAATAAATTAGAAAAGTTTTAACATTTATTTTATTTTTAAAACCCAGAAATACAAGCAAGGTCCTATTTGATTTTTAAACAAATATTTCTAGATCATTTGTGTACTAAATTGTTTATGGGGTATATGACATATACCCTATTAACATACCATGTTTTAAGTAAAAAAAATTGTCAATATTGCTATTAATCTCACAAATTCTTGTTTTGCTCAGTAATTTACACTGAGTTTTGCAACAGGCAAAAAAAACAACAACATAAAATTACTCAACATGATGAAATATGTAGAGCCCACTGGCTTTGAAAGGTATATAAGCAAGTCAGTAATTTGAGGGTTAACTGGTTAAAAATGAAGAAGACGGTCCTAGATATAAACATTTAAATTTAGGCATGGAATGATGGCATTAAATAATGTTTGTTTATATCAAAAGCCTAAGACTTTTAAAGTTTTCTCAAATAAAATGGATAATTAAAGGACCCTAATACTTATTATCAGTAACTTATGATCAAACTAAGTTACCTATATTGGTCAAAACTAAAGATTAATTCATTAATGAATATGGTTAATGTACCATTCTTGCTTACAATGATTAGAATGCATTCATCAGTTGAGAAGATTTGCTGTCAGTAATATCCTTTTTTTATTATTAAATTTTTTCAGAAAATTTTAAAGGGACAAAAAGCTTATTAGCCCATCAAGGATGTCCCTTTCAGCTCCCAACTATAACCACCCCTTACTACTCATGTATTCATCTAATCTTGAAGGCAGCTCATTCCAAAAGACAACCACCCTTTATGAAAAGAAATACTGTCTAAACTGCAGATGACTCCTATGCTGCCAAAATTTGAATTTATGACCCCTTGTCCTATTGTTTTCACTGCTTAACACAAAAAAGTTTGATGGATCTATATTACCAATACCAAACAAATCCCCTCTGATCGTTTCCTCTCCAAATAAAACACATTTAGAGATTTTAGTCTCTCCTCATAGGACAATCCCACCATCCCAGGTATCATCCTAGTGGCT